GGAGAAGAATGTTCGGCCAGACTAGAAGAGAGAATATAAAAAAATCACTCTCCTAGCCGACCCACTTGGATTTTATTCATAAACTTGGAGTTACAAGAAAGACAGTTTTGYCCCTCATATAAGATGGGACACATAACTTAAACTCAGATACAATAGACCTTTCACTTCCAAGAAGATAAACCAGAATGACCAAAATACCCCTGACTCGATTACTCTAACATGCATAATTGAGAAAAATGCATTTGGAAGCTTTAGGATCAAATTTAGAAAGATTAAGGCCCAAGATTTGAACAAAATATATGCACCCAAAGACTTTAAGAGAGATGGTAAACAAGTCTTTCTTAGGATATAATAAGGTGAAAGGAGCTTTCATACCCAAGACACAAGAGGGAACTTGGTTAATGAGATACATAGCCGTATGAATTGCATCCCCCCAAAAACGTATAGGGACATTTGAATTTAGCATAATGCTTCTCGCAACATCAAGGATATGCCTGTTCTTTCTCTCAGCTACCCCATTTTGCTGAGGGGTTTGAGGATAGGTGCTCTGGTGAATAACCCCATATTTAATGAAGTACGAGTTCAATGATTTTGTTAAGTACTCCTTGGCATTATTAGATCTGAAAGCTTTGATTCTAACCCCCAAATTGAGTGAAAACCATTTGATGGAAAGCATAGGTCAAAATAGGGACCTCATCATGGGAACGCATAAGACAAACCCAAGAGAAGCGAGAATAATCATCAACAAATAACAAGAAATACTTGTATCCCCCCATAGCAGCGATATGATATGGTCCCCAAGCATCAATATGCACATTTTCAAAAGGAACAGTGCTTCTTGTATTGCTCAAAGTATAGATTGATCTACAATGTTTTGCCAACTTTCACACTTTAAACTGGACACTTGGGCTGATTCAAACAAAGTAGGAAAAAGACTTTGTAAAGACCCAAAGGACAAATGACCTAACCGATTATGCCAAAGAATAATCTGACTCACAGACTGAGAGACAAAAGACTTTCTAACTCCTTTATTTCTTCCCGGTGGATGCTCAAGCAAGTAGATCTCATTCACCTCATGGCCAGTCCCAATCACCTTCTTTGTTACCAGATCCTAGAAAACACAATGATCAGGGGAAAAGGTCACTAAACAATTCTGACTTTTAGTAATGCTACTAATAGAAAGTAGGTTAGTACTAAGTTTGGGCACATGTAAAGTTGATGATAAGGAAAGTACATCATACACTTTAATGTCTCTCTTGCCAAAGATGGGAACAAGAGAGCCATCAGCAATAGAGACATTGTCTCTTCCAGAGGGCAAATGATAAGAAGAAAACAGTGAGGCTAAACTAGTCATATGATCAAAGGCACCCGAATCTACTATCCAAACAAGATTGGTGTTACCTGGAGTCAAGGCATGATAGGCAATAGCTCTTGTACCTGAGTGTGCAAAAGCTAAAGAGGAGATAGAAGGATCCAAGGTAGACTAAGATGGTCCAGTAATGCCAGCTCCATTCTCCAACTATGTCAATACTGCCCTGACGGTAGCCAAGGCATCCAAGAAAATAGATCTAGCTCCAATAGAGGATGAAACATTTGTGGCAAAATTTTCATTTCCCTTTTTATTCTTAATTCTTGAAGGTGCCAACTGAGGATGAAGCTTCCAACAAGTCTCTTTAGTGTGTCTAGGTTTCTTGCAATAGTCACAAATGATCTTTTTTTCTTCCTTCCTCACGTCACTCTCCTTATAACCATAATGCTTTGGCTTCATAGCTGCTAAGGATGATTCAATTTAGGAATTTTATATCATAACCTTCCTTCTGCTCTCCTCACTATGCACTAAAGAATATGCTTGAGACAAGGAAACACTTTCCCTAGTAAGAAGTTATTATCTTAATATATCATATTCAGAATTCAGCCCTGCAAGGAATTCAAAAACCCTATTTCTTTCCACTAGTTTGTTATATGTTGTTGCATCCTTTTGACTTTCCCATTCAATTGTCTCCAAGTGATCAATTTCATGC